CAGATAAATTTTGATGACGATGATGACATACCACCACTAATGATAATTACCCTGACTTCAAAAAATTCATTTTATCTTGAGTGTGTAGTGAACTTTGGTCAGGTATTCGTGCTGTACCTTTGGATTTCCGCAGTTTTTTTTTTCTTAAATTAATTATATTCATAGTTTAAATAGTCTCTTCTTACAATTGTAAAATTATTTTTTAAATCACTATCATTTGAAAGAATTTTAAAAAGAAAACATAAATAACTGCAGCACGTGCAATTAGATAGTCAAAACCAGTGACTTTTGAGGAACAGGAGGGTTCTGTTGTAAAGAGCCCTCCGCATAAACTGACAAGTATATGTTAGGCAGAAAGATATGTTTATGCAGTTAAACAGTTACTAAGTTCAGTCAAGACTATTCTTGAACCATATGTCAAAAACTTTAAAACATTTTGATGCACTTTAAAAAAGCATTAAGAGCTACTACGTTAAGAAGTCCTGTCATGCTGGTATTTAACACGTTGAGGGTCGCGTCAGCCATCGGTGGCTGACACTGAACTTTCCATTTAGGACGCGTCAACCACCGGTGGCTGACACTGAAATTACATTTAGGCTGCGTCTGCCACCGCTTGCTGACACTGACGTTTCACATAAGCCGCAAAAAGCAGCTGGCTGACAGCGTATAACATGATATAGAACTATAAAATTTACGCTCTTTTATGGAATTACAAAAAAATTATTCAAAAATTACTTAATTATTGTGATTCTTGGTTTAATAAATTCAATTTAGTAGATTTTAATCCACCACTATTTTTAAACAATTCATAGGCATATAAAATTCACCACTTTTTCCAGATATGTCATGCTAAATCTTTTATAAACTAGCAAAATCTGACTAAAGTTTCAAATTTAGTTTGTAGTTATTTACCGTGTGACCTGACGAGCAAGCCATGTAAAATTAGCGTGGCATTCAACGTGATAAAAGAAAGGTCCGATTAAGAACTAATATCGTCAGATTAGATTTTAGAAGATACACAAAAGAAAGAATTTGAATTTAATGATACATATTTCAAAACTGGAGATAACGTTGCTCACAGAAACTGTAGAAAACTGAATGCGAAGTGGAATTTGGGGACAGCAATAAGCTATATGGACGTTATACTGTTAACTTAAGTGGGTGACATTTGAGACGCTATGTTTATCAGATTATAAGCTCTGTCAAATTTAGAAACAATCAAATCTCTAGATTTGCCGCTCCAAGAGTGACTCACGTGATCCAACAACCATCAGATAAGAGCGTGGTGACTAGTCTAGGACATTCAAATAAGCTTGTATCACCTGTGTCAAAACAATATTAGCTTTTCGTGTCACTCCACCAGTTTGTGACAAATCTAGTACCCTAACAAAGACTATTAACAAAACATTTGTGCCACCACGTCGACGTCGATCATAGTGAATTTACACAGCTCTCGGCAGACGCATTTTATAGTTGATTATTTTGATTAATATGTTTCTTTGTATTTATCAGATTATAAAAGAGGAAAAGTCATGTGTGGAAAAAGTAAGTTACCAGCGTTTTATCCAGATCAAAATAATTCAAATTTTTTACATTTCACATTACTAGTTGCTGACTTTATATGCTAACTTATGAATTTGATAAATATTCGAAAATTTATCACAGTTTCCGAATTTTGTGAATATATTCTCATGTGCACAGTGCGCCAAAAAAAACTGACCCTCCGGAATAACTTTCGATCTAAAAATCGGATATTTACGTTCTAGGACTCAATCCAAATTGTTCGAGGGGGTTACATCAAATATGCTAATTAGAAAACGCAGAGGATATTTTAAGTTACGATATCAGAGACAAGAAAGCACTTTCTCTGAATAAACATGCATTTTTTCAACAAATTCGGATTTCTGGCCCCAAAATATGGAGGTAGCAGCAATCTGGGAAATATGAGACAAAAACGCTGATTTTCCATTGATGGATCGACATAAATGAGATGGTTATACCATCTTGAATTTCCTTCATAAACCATCATACAGTTTGGTGGGACCATCAAATCTGCCCTACAATCCAAGTTAGGAATTGCCTTTTCAAGTTGGTCCAACAAAAAAAAATCCATCATGATCTAACATAATTTATTGGTTACCATTATAATTTTCAATCAAAAACCATCATTTTCTTTGCTGGGGAGATCATGACACCCCGATATGGAAATTGATCCAGCTTTATGTGGGGTCAATGGATCTTACCTTTACTGAGTGCATTATCAAGCGATGACCAGTTTAGCTGCTTACCAAAGAAAGCAAAAAGAGCGTTTTCCATCACCACCTACAGCAAAAAGCCTCCACACGGTTTCTTATAAGTAGACAGCGCAGACAATTTAAAAAGTGAACAGTTTGAGCGCAGGACCGAAAGTCTACTCAAAATGTTACTAAGAGGAATTTATCATATATATTTGAGAATTGAATCTGTAGTGGTAGACAAGTAAATACGACAAACTAATCATATTCATAAATTAAATAAATTTTTGACACATATATTGGGTACCACTTTCTTATTTTTACTAGATTTGGTATTAAAAGGCTCTTTCATTAACTGGTTTACCTTCACAGTGGTCTGATCGGACTACCGATAAAAAAAACCGGGTGGAAGCTTTCAGTTGTAGGAGGCGTTGCTACAGCACACTCTTTTGGTAAAAAAAATAATAGACTTTTACTGATTTTCCTTTAAAAGAATTTTTAATTTATTTAACCAAAAATTGGTATTTATAGCAACATAAATTAATATTTGCAAAATATAGTTGCAAACATTACTTCGTGTTAAATATTCAGCACAAAATATTGTCCGCATGTCATGAAGAATACCTCACTATTCAATGGGAAATAGTTTACCATATATGGTTTACAATAACTTATTTTATCACGAAAAAAAGGTCGGAGCTCTATTATAGCAAACATTACTTGATAGGTTACTAGTCTAATGGAAAATCAATAGCTCCCATCATCAAAGGATGGGTGTTGCATACCTGCCAACTTTCACTCTTTCCGAGAATGGATTTTCAGAGTGGTTGTAAAACAATAAACGAAAAACAATCCGACTCAAAAATATATTTATATTTTGATCCCGTTGAAATAAGCTTGCGCAAGGATTATTATGCTTTGATATATTTATTGTAATTACTTATATGTAGTGGTGGTCAAACTCATTTATAATTATCATTATAATTCAAAAGTTAATTGGAATAACCTGAGTATTGCTGCCACTTTAAATATGAAAATAAAATCTTCTGGAAAATCCGGAAGAGTTAGAAGGTATGGCTTGCTTGCCAACTTTTAATCCATTCGATTATCATTTTTCCCAGTGGTATTAAAATGGAATTAAAACTTCAATTTTAAGCAAACAAATACGTTATATTTGAGAAAACTTAAGTTGACAACCATGATAGTAACGCATATTAATATATGTGCTTAACTTTTGTAAGAATAGCGGTGATCAAAATCATTTAAAAATTAAGTTTATAAAAGAAAAAAATAGTATATATTTACTACCACTTTAAATATGAAAATAAAATCTTCGGGAAAATCCGGAAGAGTTGGCAGGTATGGTATGGTGTTGTTGGTCCACCAATACCAAACATCTTTTGATGGTTGACCATCGTATACTAAAACAACATTTTCCATCATGAAATGATGGAGGTTGTTTACGCAAGAATTTCAATCATAACTTGATGTTTCCGACATGAGATAATGTAATTTGTTATTCAAAGAATTTGTAACATAAGACGTTGGTTGACCATCGTATAGTGAAATGTTATCTTTCAACATAAAATGATGAAAGTTCGTTGGCTCATTAAAATCCATTACCACATGATTGAAACTGTTGGACGATGTTTATCGTCAAATAGTATTGGGCCATCAAGAAACGAACATAAACAATCAAAATATCCTGATGGTCCTATCAAGAATTTTGTCTTTAGTTTGCTTAGGAGCGCGATGCAAAGTTTGGACCTCTTGAAGCTAATTTTACTTTTTGAATCTTTCGCCGTATCTCGAGAACTTTCGAGGCGAGTTCAAACCATTTTACACACTTTTAAAATTCGTTAGGCCAAAGACAATTCCATCGAAAAATAATTTTCAATAAATATTTTTTATTGTTTTATATAATAATATTCGGGAAAATTTTAAATTGGAAGTTTTACAATTTTTTACATAATTTCAAAGTTTCTAATTTTACATGGTAAAATACAAATTTTTAGAGAAATTAGTTGAATAATTGATGAGAAATCGAAATTTAGAAAATTCGTTCATTTAAAATTCAATTTCTCAGAAGCTATTCCATTGATTTGGATTATTTGTTCAAATTTTGTATTTTGCCATGTAAAATTACATACTTTAAATTGATGCAAAAAATTTTATTCTTTTCAATTCTACATTTTTTAAACTATTAATGAATAACATTATATTTAAAATAGAAAATAGTATAGATTTACTAAAAATTACTTTTTGCATTGGATTATCTTTGGACAAACAAATTTTATAATTGTTTCTAAAATTCTCTTAATTCGCTTAAGTGTTCGAGATATGGCGAAATACGGAAAAAGTAAAATTAACATTAAGGGATCCAAACTTTTGACCGTTCTTCTGACCTATGGGAATCATATTTCCCAGATTGTGCCTACCCCCTATAATTTGTAGGTCAGAAATCCAAATTCGTTGAAAAAAATGCATGCTTATTCAGGGAAAGTGCGTTTTTCAGTCTGATTTCGTAATTTAATATATCGTCTGCTCTTATTAATTAGCATATTTGAGGTTACTCCCTCGGACATTAAGATTGAACTCTATAATGTGAAGCTCATCCTTAAATCAAAAATTATTTTGGATATTCCGTTTATTTTTTTGGCGGGCAGAGTATTCAAAAACATACAATAAATCTCATTTTCGGTAACGTGTGTGGTGAATCATCCTCAAAAAAATAATTTCTCCCTCTTGTTTTGTTTTTGTTCTAAATTATCAATTCAATAATCACTTGCCTACACATCCTTCTTTGTTGTTGATTTCATTTCCACTTTTAGGTTTATAACCATCTTCGCATGCACAATAGAAAGTGTTTGGACCACCGGCGCATTTCGAAGTTTTAGTAGGGCACTTCAATTCCTTATCCTCACAAGTTTCCCAAGCTTCCTCGCCTGTAAAAAAGTATCAATATGATTAATTATTAAGGATTTTCTTTTGTTAAAAAAAATACTATAGAATAAAGAGGGAATTTTAACAATTTTTGATTTTTATAAGATGATGCTGGATTTTGAAATAAAAAAAATATTTAATTTTTACTCTCACACCACTTTGGTTCCAAAATTTGATGCCTGAAGTATTAGCTTAAAATTAGGGCACGAAAATACGTTCTTATTTACTACATTTTGTCATCATATTTACAATTTTATTGCAAATTAATTTAAAGCAACAAGTGTCTCTCCGATTTCTTAATACTTACAATTTTTACAGACAAAAAATTACGCCTTGATTAGCTAAATATACAGGGTCTTTGTAATTAAAGTTCCACTTTGAAATGGCTATAAAAATAAAACTTCCCGACCATATGTCATCAAACTTGGTAAATGTCTATAAGAGGTTATGGGATTTTAGTTCCCGCAAAAAAAAAAAATAGTTCAAAAATTCACCACCAGCGGTGAATGGCGCTGTATGCAATAAGATTAAACGAAATAACAGAGGAAACATCATTTGCAAACACTTTTATTGTTGCTACAAAGCATGCTCAATGTGGCATCCGCCATTTTCTGAAAGCAAATTAAATCGCAATATTGCATTCTCAACAGCACTTCTTAGCATATCTGGAGAAATGTTACAGACATGTCTGTGTATCGCATACTTCAATTCCACTAAATTGGTTATGCTATCACCAAAAACAATGGCTTTGAGATAACCCCACAACCAGAAGGTCTGGTGATCGGGGTGGAAGAGAAATAGGGAAGTTTCGGGCTACAATACAATCATTCGTGAAATGTTGCTGCAGTAACTGTTTGACACACCTACCAATGTGAGGTGGAGCCTCGTCCTGCATAAAAATCGTGGTGGCTAAAATGCCCTGTTGCTGAAGTTCAGGTATCACGAAACATCTGAGCATCGATTCTAAGCGAGCAGCAGTCACAGTGCATGTCACGGACCCAGCTGCCGATGGCTCTTCAAAGAAAAAAGGTCCAATTATGAAATTTGCTGTCATACCGCGCCAAACGGTGACTTTAGGCGAATGTAATGGAACTTCGTGGATAACATGAGGGATTTCTTTGGCCCAAATCCTACAGTTATGGGTGTTGACATCCCCATTTAAGTAAAAATGAGCCTCATCTGTCCACATAATGTTCCATGGCCAATTGATGTCCACCTCCATCCTTTTTAGAAAACTCAAAGCAAATGTTTCTCTTAAAGCCGGATCTCTAGGTTGAAGTTGTTGAACAAGTTTGATTTTGTAAGGGTAGTACTGCAACACTTTCCGAACGATTTTGTACACCGTACTCAATGGTAAGTCGAGTCGACGTGCAACAGCACTTACGCTGCACGTCCCCTGTCTGGTGTCCATTGCTACTTCCTCTACTGCTAATGCAACAGCCTCCTTGGTTTCCACAGACACAGATTTTCGTCCAAGCCCCAGGTGCTGCAGATAACAAGCCTGTGGCTTGAAATTTTGCCATCACTTTAAGTAAACTTTGCGGTGTCATTGGACCTCGGCGTTTTCTCTTACAGTACGGAACTTTTGTAAAGCCCTCCGTTCATTGCTGTCGCATTCATCGTAACATTTCACGAGCAAAGTACGGTCTTGCATGGTAACAGACATTGTCGACTCGGAACACTGACAGCTCAGACAAGGCACCTCACTTTTATAACTGCAAAGTCATATGACGTGTAAAACAAATTTGCATATTTCATATTTGTTTAACACTATTGCAAACAGCGTCATTCTCCGCAGGTGGTGAATTTTTGAACTATTTTTTTTTCTTTTTTTTTTCTTGCGGGAACTAAAGTCCCATGACCCCTTATCGACATTTACCAAGTTTGATGACATTTGGTCGGGTAGTTTTATTTTTATAGCCATTTCAAAGTGGAACTGTAATTATAAAGACCCTGTAGATTAAAATTTTCTGTCTGATTAGTATAAAAAATGTTGTTTAAACACAAAGAAATCTGACCACATTCTTAGCAATTATGCTGGGAGTCTAGTAAATTTAAAAAAAAAGAAATATAATCATTTATCCAAAACTAATTTAAAAATATATTGATTCTTGTTCTTTGTTTGAAATGTCACCTAGTAATTAGAATGGCGACAAAAAATTTTCTTATTATTAAAGTAAAAATTATATTCTTTGAGTAAGTATTATATATTTTTTAATTTTAAAATGCTACTTTGATAATCTCTGTAACATGTTTAAGACAACAAATCACAAATACCTAATTGCTACACCTTACCTTTTGTAATATCTCTTATACATATATATATATATATATATATATATATATATA